TGAAGAAGGAGCATAGCCTAATCAAGAAGAAAGGAGAAGGGACAAAGGGTGATTCAAGGCAGAGAAAGCAGCATGTGCATAACTATAGGGGCAAAAAGAATTTGGTATGCTAAGGTAACACCACACGCTTTGAGACCATACTTATTCATGTTTTGTAACCACATTTATCTAGCATGAGTTTTAGGAGCCCTGGTGGCACAACAGTTAAGCAATCCCCACGCTTTGCTGCTAACCAAAAAGTTGGTGGTTCAAACCCACCCAGAGGCTCTGCAGGAGAAAGACCTGGCGATATGCTCTGGTGATGATTACAGCCTAGAAAACCCTACGGCGAAGTTCTATTTTGTCACATAGGGTCACTATGAGTTGAAAATCAACTCACAGTACCCAATAAAAACAACAAAGCACTCAATGCATGTTTATTGGACTACATTCAATCACAGAGTTCATGTAGGATGTGACGGCAAGAGTTACAGCCAAGTTAGGAAGGTATTTTTAGAATGCTTGGCACAAAGTAGGTGCTTGACAAATTTGTACTTCATTTTCTTTCTTTTGCATTACTATTTAAAAATCAATCTTGTCACCATCATGGAAACCCTGGTGGCGTAGTTGTTAAGGGCTACCACTGCTAACCAAAAGGTCCGCAGTGTGAATCCACCAGGTGCTCCTTGGAAACCCTATGGGGCAGTTCTTCTCTGTCTTATAGGGTCGCTATGAGTCGGAATCGACTTGACGGCAGCGGGTTTGGTTGGTTGTTTTCTTTTTTAATCATCATTATAGGGCCATTACTGTGAAATGACTCTCATTTGATAAATTGCATGCAAAGTCTAGAAACACACAATGGTTTCACAGCTTTTGTAATTGATAAGCTAATTTCTCAATCAGAAAAAATGGCAAAAATCACCAAAATCATGTGTTAGAAATACTGTAACAAAGCCACAGCCCCAGGAAAAACAGGTGATTACTACATGTTACTTTTTCCTATTGGTTGTACCTCGTTCTATAATAGTCTGTTTTCAGAATAAAAAGGAACTTTTATAAATGCTATTATTTTATCTTCTAATGTTGTAGCATTTCAACTACAGATACGTTCAGTTAATTAGTTACCCTAACCCCACTGTCGTAGGACAGAGTAGAACTGCCTCATAGGGTTTCCAAGACTGTAAATCTTTACGGAAGCAGAATGCCACATCTTTCCTCCACAGAGCAGCTGGTGGGTTTGAACCTCCTACCTTCTGGTTAGCAGCACAGCACTTAACCACTGAGCCACCAGGTCTCCTCCTTAGTTACCCTAATCAACCTAAAAATCTACAAATTGGTATAATAAAGAAAAGTGAATGCAAGAAAAGCTAGATAATTGGTAGAAGTCTAAGAATAAGAGCATGCTTCTACATAAATACAGCAAAATGTACTAGTCATCCTAACTGTACCATGCGTGTTGTCTTAGTTATCTCATGCTGCTATAACAGAAATACCACAAGTGGATGCCTTTAACAAATAGAAACTTATTTTCTCATAGTTTAGGAGGCTAGAAGTCTGAATTCAGAATGCTAGCTCTAGGGGAAGGCTTTCTTTCTCTCTGCTCTGGAGGAAGGTCTTTACCTCTTCAGCTTCTCCTTCCTGATTCCTTGGAGATCTCCATGTGCCTTTCTTTTATATCTCAAGAGACTGATTCAAAATATACCCTACATTAATCCTGCCTCATTAACATAACAAAGACAACCCACTCTCAAATGAGATTATAACCACAGGTATAGAGGTTAGGATTTACAACATAGTTTTTGGGAGGGATATAATTCAATCCATAACACTTGTATCTACTATGAAACCTCCATTACATCGTTCCTTCTCTAATCCAAACGTCCTCCCCTCCAGCTTCCTCTCCACTTTGTAGTACATCCCCAGAGCACTCTGTTCCACAGTGACCTCTTCCTTCCCTTTGTGGGAGAGTCACCTCTGCATTTAGTCCTTCCTTGCCATGTGTTATGTAATGGTTATCTCCCAGCCCAATTGTACATTTTCAGAGAAGAGAATTCTCTTGAATTTCTCGTGGAACGTGGCATAATGCTAGACATGTAAAAGATATCCAAACTTGATGAGTAAATAGACAAAATGATTTCCATGAATTATATTTAGCTTCAAGCTTCAGTTGCTGATTCTTCTCACCTCCCCGACTGAAGATAAAAATGTTATAAAGCTTTAAAAAAAAAAAGGCTCAGACTGGGGACAGTAAAAGGAGGTCATCCTACATCTTTCTGAGGTGCTTTTTAAGCATCCGCAAATCATCAGAGCTCTTTGATATAGCAAGGCGAGGGAATTCCTTGCTCTGCTTGTGCTTGCTAGTAGTAAGGCTGAGGGGACTACAATTTATGGGACTTGTTGCTAAGTGAAATCCCCACAAGCATAGGAAATAGGAAATAGGCTCTTTAGGCACACTGAAGAAAAAAAGAGGGAACAGGGATCCCAAGGTTGATTCTATCCTTGTCTTGTTTAACCGATTTACTGAAGTTCGTAAGACAGACCACGTACAAAATCCCATAACAGAATCATATATGTTTATTCAACAAATACTATTTACAATATTATAATAATAGCTAACACTTCTGTGCACTTTCTTTGGTATCACTCATTGCATAAGCACTTATCACACATCTTTTTGTTAAACCCTGATAACACTCAAATAACATAACACTGATAAGTAACATAATTATCCTTATTTTAGAAATAAGGAGGCCTAGAGAGGTTAAGTAAGAACTTGCTCCAAGATAACAAGAGTAAGTAACAAAGCTAGATTTTGTGCCTAGGTCTATGATGCCAAAGCCCACACTACACTAGCTCCTTTGGTTGGAAGACTCAGTTTTCAACTATATAAAATCAAAATTAACCCACCTTTTCGAGAACTATTGAACCTATTCCAAAGGCCCCAAACTGGGAGTTCAATTATATTTCTGTTTGCCCAAATGATGCTTTTTACATCACATTTACCAAGGAATAAATCATAAGCTGAGTCAGAAGCAACTCTGAATTAAACAACAAACTAAACTCAAAAGACCCAGAAAAGATGTTTGACACTAGAAGTACTTGGATTCTCTTTCAGGATTGTTTTCTATTTGAAAGCTTAAAAGTTACAAACAAAACACCAAAGCAACAATATGAAAAAAGCCTGGGACGAGGGGATCTCTAGGGTCTGAGGTAGCAAGCCGAATCAGACTTAAGCCAATTAGCTTAAGGATCCTATCGCACCCATAGCAAACAAGGATCTAAATAAATAAATGTGGGCCCTATTGGTGGTAAGAAGAGCTATGGTATAATTTCCTCATCACCCCTAGAGAAGCTAACGGGAACTTCAGATTTGATTTGCAACATTTTTTTTTTATATTCATTCCAGGTACAGGCCACATGCCATTCAGACTTGACAGTATGCTCAGCAGAGGATAAGAACTCTAGATTAAGTGTTGGACTTTGGGCTATGTATTATCTGTATATATCAATAACCTCCCTAGCATCCAAAATTAGTTTCAGAGGGGGAAAAAAAGGCCTAGAGATTAATGTCTAAGTGTTGCTTTTGTTTTTTGTTGTTTTTCTTTTTTTACATGGCTTTACCTATTCAATTGACAGAGATCTCAGGCAGCACTTAAAGCAGTGCCTGCAATAAGGCAAGAGAGCTTAATGTCAGCAATTATAATCAGCATTATTATTTCCACGTTTGAGGTCAGCCTTAAGAGGCAGCAAGTGCTCATGTGACATAGTTTCAGGGATAGCTGAAGGCTGACTCTCCCCCCAAATAACACTGCTACTGGGGTTGCTAGTGCTTGAATTTCCACAAAAAGAATTTATTCCTTTGGCTTTAGGCTTAGTCTTGTGAAAATGCAAAATCAAGTACCACTGGGATGGTGGCATTTTAAGTGTTAGTATTTATTTATATTGACAATTACCCATGTTTAATAGATTTCTTTGAGGCAGGTTTTGCTAAGGAAAGGAAGAGGAGGATTTGAGAGTATTAAAAACATCTTGGGGCAGACGTATATAAGCAAGGAGAGTTTTCCACTAAGAGAAATTAAAGTACGCAAACAAGGGGTGGGCTCCTAGAAAAGTTGACTCCCGAACCAATATAATTCGCAAATTTTGCCTTTCCTTCTATTGCCATTATCAATAATTTACTGTACTACTCCCGGCTCCTCCTCAAAATCTTGCCCGATATAATAACTATGCAGTTTCATTTATACAGAAACTGACCCAAATAACGTCAGAAGGAGTTTGAAATCTACAGTCCTTGAGAAGGGTGCTTACAGTTAAAAGATACTCAGACGTGTTTACCAGCAGGCAGAAGTGCGGGGCTTCGGGCTTCCCTGCCCCCTCCCTGCAGCCTGCAGCCCCAGCGAGGACACTGCCTTCCCAGATCTTAAGTAAGGCAAAGGATCGTCTGCAAGCAGGGCTGGAGCCAAAATCCCTACCACCCAAGCACAAAGCAGTAGAAGCCCGGAAGGGTGAGGTGGAAAGCAGCTGGATGGCTCCAGGAAGTGGGTGGGGAGGAAGCAGCCGAGATTCGAGCCAACTGTGGAAAGAGCACGTTTGCACACGCCTAGCAGAGGGAGTCCCGGGGTACTGCGTTCAGCGGTCACGAGCACTTTTGGCAGTGCTGTCCTCTTCGATCCTCGTCATCACCCAGCCACCCAGCTCGGATTTGGGACATAAAAAGGTCTCGTAAAGTGGGCGGCGACCGGGGTTCCCGCAGCTGAGTCACATACCCCAGCTAACTTTTACAGCATTTCCCAGAAAGAAAAGAAAAAGTCCCGGAGCCCACCAATCGCTTCTAGTACCCGCTCCCCCTCTCTGTGCATTCCAGCCAGGGATGAATCCAGCCCCACAACTGGGGTGTTCCCCACTCAACACGCAACTTCTCCCCGGCGCAAACCCTCGGGGGTACTACAAGCGCTTGCCAAGCGCTACCCTCCCGGCGGATAAGAGGGTAGGAGGCGGGAGGGAAAGAGCTGCGTCCTCACCTGCAGGACACGGAGACCTCCACCCGCGTGGCCGGGATGGCTGCGCTCAGCTGCTTCAAGTCCCCGATGCCCGCAGTGCTGGTGTAACGACTGTCCATCTTGGGTGGCAGCGCCGTGCACTTGTCCGGTGCCCACATCCGGAGCTCGGGCAGACTGAGCGATCTGAACGGGGATGGGGATGAGGGTGGAGGCAAAGAAAGAAGGCGGAGGCAACGCGCGGGAAGGGGAGGGAGGGGAGGAGGCGGACCTCGGTGAGGAGCCGCGAGGAAACCGGGAGCCAGTCCCGGGGTGAGGCTGAAGCTGCCGGGTAAGTGGCACACGGGGCCCCCGGCCTCCCCGCCCCCTCCTTGCAGGCAGCAGCCGGGGCGGGTACACTCGGGACTCCTCTCTCACCTCAAGGCATCAAGCTCGTCCAACCCACCAGGCAGCCTTACGGGGTAGGTGGCGCCAGACGCCACCCCTATTGTCCAGGAGGGCAAGCCCTCCCGGGCTTTCTTTGTGGTTTGGGTTTTGTCTCCGCCTCCACACGCCCACCCCCGCCCTCTGGGCGCGACTCCCTCCTCCTGTCAATCAGGTGTGAACCAGAAAGTCACGCAGTTTCTATGCCTTGGTTGGAAGCTAGAGGTGGGGAAGCTTCTGCCGGTCCCTAACTCCCCATCATAAGTTTATTTCCCCTCAACACGCAGAGGTCCTCACCTTCGGAGCCCACGGGAGTCCTTCCCACTGTGCCCTCGGGCAGGTAAGCCCGGTCCCAGTTTCTGGACTACTCATTGCCGGACTTGAGGGTTGGGGACAATGGAACACGGGGGAGATTTCCAACCTTCAGTATGTGGCGGTAAAGTGGCAAATCAATATCTTGGACAAACAGGGGTGGACTCAAAGGTTAAAAAAAAAAAGCAAACTAGGATTTCAGGGGATTCTTCTGGATTCCCTCTCCCCTCGGTTCTTCAGACAGTAGGATCTAATGATAACAGTCCTCCTACAGCAAGGATTCTTTTGCGCCCCTCCTTTCTAAATTTATGGAAGTTATGCCCTGAAACCGGGAGGTAACAACTGGGTACTGCGACTCCCTCACCCCGACTGCCAGCCGGCAAGACCTGAAACTGAACGGAAAGAGGAAAGGAGGAGCCCCAAGTGAGGACTGCGTTTAAGAAGCTGGATCACAGGGCAGCAAGACTGGTGCCAGGAGGCACAAACCGCCAAAGCATCCGGAGGTGCCCAGGGCTCCTCTACATTGCAGGGACCTTTGTTGCCAGCACTTTTCCTCCCGGCTCACCCGTGCGCCTGCAGATCTCAGAGCGCTTGCCGCTAGGGGGCGACTAAGAACAGGACACAGCACCGGAAAGGAGGAGAGTGGGTCAGGGGCCTATCCTTGACTCCATTTAACATCCCCAGCACCACGGAGTTTGCAACTGGCGGAGCTAACTCAGGGAGGAACCTTTGTCCTGATTTGTTGTTGCTGTTATTGTTAAGTGCCCTGGAGTCGGTTCCGACTCATAGCGACCCTATGTGCAACAGCAGGAAACACTTTCGGGTCCTGCACCATCCTCACAATCCTTGCTGTGCTTGAGCCCATTGTTGCAGCCATTGTGTCAATACATTTCATTGAGAATCTTCCTCTTTTTGCTGACCCTCTACTTTACCAAGCATGATGTCCTTCTCTAGGGACTGATCCCTCCTGATTAACATGTCCAAAGTATCTGACACGTAATCTCGCCATCCTTGCTTTTAAGGAGCATTCTGGTTGTTCTTCTTCCAAGACAGATTTGTTCGTGCTTTTGCAAGTCCGTGGTATATTCGATATTCTTCGCTAACATCACAATTCAAAGCCATCAATTCTTCAGTGTTCCTGATTCTTCGTCCAGCTTTCACATGCATATGAGGCGATTGAAAACACTAGGCTTGGGTCAGGCCCACCTTAGTCTTCAAGGTAACGTTTTTTGCTTTTTAACACTTTAAAGAGGTCTTTTGTAGCAGATGTGCTCGATGCAATGTGTCCTTTGATTCCTTGACTGCTGCTTCCATGGGTGTTCATTGTGGTTCCAAGTAAAATGAAATCCTTGACAACTTCAATCTTTTCTGTTTATCACGATGTTACTTATTGGTCCAGTTGTGAGGATTTTTGTTTTCTTTATGTTGAGGTGTAATCCATATTGAAGGCTGGAGTCTTTGATCCTCATCAGTAAGTGCTTCAAGTCCTCTTCACTTTCAGCAAGCAAGGTTGTGTCATCTGCATAACGCAGGTTTTAATGAGTCTTTCTCCAATCCTGATGCCCTGTTCTTCATATACTCCAGTTTCTCAGATAATTTGCTCAGCGTACAGATTGAATAAGTATAGTGAAAGGATACAACCCTGACACACACCTTTCTTGACTATAAAGTATCCCCTTGTTCTATTCGAACAACTGCCTCTTGATCTGTGTACACAGGTTCCTCACGAGCACAATTAAGTGTTCTGGAATTCCCATTCTTTGCAATGTTATCCATAATTTGTTACGATCCACACCGTAGAATACCTTTACAGAGTCAGTAAAACACAGGTAAACATCTCTCTGGTATTCTCCACTTTTAGTCACGATCCATCTGACATCAGCAATCATATCCCTTGTTCCACATCCTCTTCTGAATCCAGCTTGAATTTCTGGCAGTTCCCGGTCGATATACTGCTGCAGCCGCATTTGGATGATCTTTGGCAAAATTTTACTGGAGTGTGACATTAATGATATTCAGTAGTTTCTGCATTCTGTTGGATCACCTTTCTTTGGAATAGGCATAAATATGGATCTCTTCCAGTCAGTTGGCCAGGGAGCTGTCTTCCAAATTTCTTGGAATAGACCAGTGAGCACTTCCAGCACTGCACCTGTTTGTTGAAACATCTCAATTGGTATTCTGTCAATTCCTGGAGCCTTGTTTTTCACCAGTGTCTGCAGGGCACCTTGGACTTCTTCCTTCAGTACCATCAGTTCTTGATCATATGCTACCTCCTGAAATGGTTGAACATCGACCAATTCTTTTTGGTACAGTGAGTCTTGTGTGTTTTTTGCATCTTCTTTTGATGCTTCCTGCGTTGTTTAGTATTTTCCCCACAGAATCCTTCACTATTGCAACGCAAGGCTTGAATTTTTTCTTCAGTTCTTTCAGCTTGAGAAATGCCGAGCATGTTCTTCCCTTTTGGTTTTCTACCTCCAGGCCTTTGCACATGTCATTATAATATTTTAATTTGTCTTCATGAGCTGCCCTTTGAAATCTTCTGTTCAGCTCTTTACTGTATCATTTCTTCCATTCACTTTAGCTACTCGACGTTCAAGAGCAGTTTTCAGAGTCTCTTCTGACATTCATTTTGGTCTTTTCTTTCTTTCTTGTCTTTCTAATAACCTCTTGCTTTATTCATGTATGATGTCCTTATTGTCATTCCACAATTCATGTGGTCTCCAGTCATTAGTGTTCAAATTTATTCTTGAGATAGTCTCTAAATTCAGGTGGGATATACTCAAAGTCATACTTTGGGTCTTGTGGACTTGTTCTAATTTTCTTCAGCTTCAACTTGAACTTTCACAGGAGCAATTGATGCTCTGTTCCACAATAGGCCCCTACCCTTGTTCTGACTGATGATATTGAGCTTTTCCATCATCTCTTTCCACAGATGTAGTCGATTTGATTCCTGTGTATTCCATCTGGCAAGGTCCATATGCATAGCCACTGTTTATTTTGGTGAAAAAAGGTATTTACAAGTCATTGGTCTTGCAAAATTCTATCATGCGATCTCTGACATCGTTTCTATCACCAGTGCCTATTTCCCAACTACCAATCCTTCTTTGTTTCCAACTTTTGCATTCCAATCACCAGTGACTATCAATACATCCTGATTGCATGTTCAATCAATTTCAGACTACAGAAGTTGGTAAAAAATCTTCAATTTATTCATCTTTGACCATGGTGGTTGGTGCGTAAATTTGAATAATAGCCATTTTAACTGGTCTTCCTTATAGGAGTATGGATATTATCCTATCAATGACAGCATTGTACTTCAGGATAGATCTTGAAACGTTCTTTCTGAGGATGAATGCAACGCCATTCCTCTTCAAGCTGTCATTCCCAGCATAGTAGACCATATGATTGTCAAGTTCAAAATGGCTAATACCAGTCCATTTCAGCTCACTAATGCCTAGGATATCAATGTTTTTGTGTTCCATTTCATTTTTGACGACTTCCAATTTTCCTAGATTTATACTTCATACATTCCACGTTGCGATTACTAATAGATGTTTGCAGCTGTTTCTTCTCATCTTGAGTCGTGCCACATCAGCAAATGAAGGTCTTGAAAGCTTGACTCCATCCACGTTTTTAAGGTCAACTCTTTCCCAGTCATCTTTTGAGTGCCTTCCAACCTGAGGGGCTCATTTTCCAGCACTATATCAGACAGTGTTCTGCTGCTATTCATAAGGTTTTCACTGGCTAATTCTTTTCAGTAGACTGCTGGGTCCTTCTTCCTAGTCTGTCTTGGTCTGGAAGCTCAGCTGAAACCTGTCTGCCATGGGTGACCTTGCTGATGTTTGAATGCCTGTGACATAACTTCCAGCATCACAGCAACACGCAAGCCCCCACAGTACGACAAACTGACAGATTAACGGGGCCCTGATTTAGGGCCTGCCAAACACTGTAACATTTTAATCCACATGAAGACAGCTGCCTAGAGAATTTATAGATTTGCAGGTGAGGATGTGTAGGTGCAGTCTTGCGAAATGTACTTCACATGTTTCCTTGGTTTCCTTTCCTTATTTCTCTACCCATCGCTTGTTACTCCCTAAATTCAGAGGTTCTCTGTTTTGCTTCCTCTTTCCCTAATACAAATTAAACTATAGTCTATTACTATTTGGGAATGTCCTAAAACCCCAGATGTTTCTACTATGTTGCCCCAAAATAATTTGAGGGAAGCAACCTAGATGCATTTTTTAAGCTAACCACATATTTATTTTATAGAAGCCTCAAACTGGACCGATAAATAACATTCTGCTTGAGCAGTCAAAGTCCATGGAAGCAGCAGTCAAGAAATCAAACGACAAATTGCATTAGGCAAATTTGCTGCAAAAGACCTCTTTAAAGTTTTTAAAAGCAAAGATGTCTCATGACTAAATTGTGCCTGACCCAACCAATGGTCTTGTCCATCACTTCAAATGCAA